TATTATGTATTATTGTTAACATATTTATAATATATTATTTTTATCTATCCAAGAGTTGTGTGTAGCATCAAATCGCAGCCATTTCACATAAACCTCGTCATCCTTTTTGCTTATCACCTTTTCCACGAGATGTACGTCGGGATTAGCAATGTGATGTAACTCATATTCGTAAAATCCGCCGGCGACAGGATTTCCGCGCGAATCTTCGAGTACATAGGTCGCGGGATTAGTTTTCTGTACTTTAACGATCTTAAACACTTCGGTAGTCCAATTTGGCGTGTAACCTTTGTCAAAGATGGTCTTGAATTTACTCACGCGTACCGGATCGCCTTTGAATCGTGCCGGTGCCGCAATCTTTACATTGCTATATACCGTATTTAAAAGTTTATCAGCGATCGCGGGGGTAACATCGATAGGTCTCATACCGATAGTGCGATGTTTTCGCGCTTTGTACTCTCCAACGAGCTGGGACAACGCGTCGATCCACTTATAATTTCCATTAAGGATAAGCATTTTCCACATATTGTTCTGTAACGTTCGGTTGAATCGTTCGACGATTGAGGCTTTTATGACAGAGTACGTTGAATAATGATTGTTTCTTCACGAATTTCTGTACATTTGCGTTGTAAAATTCTTTTCCTCTGTCGGTTTGAAAATTTTTCGGGCATCTTCCATCATCTCGAATTATCTTTGCGATCGTTTCCGACATCTCGTGTCCACTCTTACTCTTGAGCGGTACAGCCCACGCATACTTACTCAACACATCGATAACTGTGAGTATATAGTTGTAACCTTTATTGAATCGTGCATATGGACACATCTCAACCACGCGCGTTTGCCACAGATCGTCGTATCCGCGTACTATGACACGTTTACGTGGAAAATTTTTTCTCGCTGGAGCACGCAATTCTTCTACGAGCAGCTGTTTTTCAGAGATTTTTCGTAGCATATTTGATCGAGGCATGAGATAATTTCTCCACGTATATTCTTTATATATCTTTCTTCTCCCGCGCTGAATCAGATGTAGTCTGCGCGTGAGTTGCATACCGAAGCATTCTCTGCATCTCATCCATCATTATTTGTAGCGTCTGCATATTCGTCTCGAGCGAGATTACTTTTTCTTAAATTCTTCCTGTCGATCTTTCAAAAGCTTGACACTTATTTCCACGTACTGTTTGTTTGCGGCATCAGTATCATCTTCCGGTTGTGCTACGCGTCGTATCTTGCGCGACCTTGCGTCAAAGCCGGAGGCTGTCTGATACAGAGCGTTATCGCGCATGTAATTTCTTAGTAATCCATTCTATTGATAGTATGAATTGTTCGGTGTTCCCAACGATAATCCAAATTTATTAATCGACATTTCGATACAAACAATAATGACAGACTGACACGTTTCACCGACGCATAGATCAAATTAATCCATTACAATTATTTTCAGATATATAAAATGCGAAATACAGAGATTTTATTTTGTATAATAAGATGACATATACACGTCAAAGGTTACAGAACAGCAGAGCGCCGTCGGCCGTTTCCGGCGCGGTCGTGTCGTGCGAGCGGGAAAGAGAGGAGTATCCGAGACTCTCTCCTTGAGGTACGTAGCCGCAACAGGCGTCGCGTCGCGCAATACCCGCGCGCGCGTGACCCGTTGAGGTTTTTTAGATATATACTTGGCGTATTTTTTTACCTTTATGAGGTTTTTTTAGTGGGATTTCATTGCTTTTTGTAATTATTCTTACTTTGTATCAGTATATTAGTATAAGAATAAATCACACGTAATTAATATCTGCTTTGATAAATAGCAATTGTTTATGAATCATTAAATTTTAATTGTTATAGAGATCGAGTTTCAGATATCTTCTAATCATTTTCGTGATCGTATATAACGAGATATATATATAACAATAAATCACACGAAGTTAATATCTGCTTCGACAAATAGCAATCGCTTGTGAATCGTTAATTATTATTTATCATAGAGATCGAGTTTCAGATATCTTTTTATAATTTTCGCGATCGTGTATAACGATACATGGAGCTGTTGCCTATTCGCTGTCACTATATAAATGACAACAAAGTGAGACATTCCATACATAATATAATAGCGCAATATATGCCGCATACCGACACGCGTCTTTGTTTACTTATTTGGCGTTATGATCATGTGGTATAATGAGGTGTACATGTACACATATCCGCTTTCTCTCTCTCTCTCTACCGCTCTTTCTCTCTTTCTCCCGCTCTCCCCTCCTCTTTCTCCCACCCTCCCGCTCTCTCTCTCTCTCTCCCTCTCTCTCCCGCTTTCTCTTTCTCTCCCGCTTTCCCTCTCTCTCCCGCTCTCTCTCTCTCTCCCGCTCTCTCTCTCTCTTTCTCTCTCCCACTCTCTATCTCTCCCGCTTTCTCTCGCTCCCCCCTCTCCTCCCTTTCCCTCTCTCAATCGCCACCTTTCTCCCTCCCTCCATCCCTCACTCCCTTTCTCTCTCCCCCGCTCGCTCTCTCTCTCTCTCCCGCTCTTCTTCTCCCGCTCTCTCTCTCTCTCTCTCTCTCTCTCCCTCTCTCTCTCTTTCTCCCTCTCTCTCTCTTTCTTTCTCTCTTATTTATTCTAAATTTTTAAAATTATAATTTTGTAAAAGAGTAATACACGAAAGAATAATCGTACATGAGCGATATGAACGCGCCTTGAAGGACAAAATCGCTTTGCGTGTGTGCGTGCGAGCATACGTACGTGAGAGCCTGAAACTTATGATGATAATGATGAAGAACGAAAAATGTCACAATTCTGATATACAATCATCATTTCTCGGGATTGACTGCACCAATCTTATTCGAACCGGTCGCAATCGAAAGCTTGTATTCACATTATATAATAAAAGCGCCGTTAGATTTTTGATGATGGCTTTAGTTCCTGAGGTATTTTAATCGAAAGTTTATTAGACGTAAAACTCCGGATAAGCTACTTGGTAGCGCCGTGGCGCCTGTACATAGGCAAACTGTTGACAGCCAGTCAGTTTCCTTTTATGTACTTGGAGTCGCGACGCTACCGCGTCGCTTGATTATGTTTCTTTGCTTGTGTTTAAGGAAATAATTTCTTGGAGAGATGATGAAAGGAGAAAAGAGGGGAGGAGAGTTCTGCGGAAGGAAACGGAATTGTAAGGAAGGGGACCTAAATATTGGTGCTCGGTAACTTGTAGCAGCAGCTCAAGGTAGAGCAAGAAACCGATTTGGTACCCTGAAGTTGACGAGAATGAAGAGGGTTCGATGGCACTATCCTATATATTCCTGGAGGGTGTGTGATTGGGGCCGGCAAATAATGGCGCTTGGTGACCTGTTGCTGCAGCTCAGGGTAGAGCAGGAAGTCATTAAGGCACCCTGGAGTCAACGCCTTGGAAGAAGAGGAAAACGGTCAACCCATTTAATTTAGAAGAGCCCTTCTACCATTGATTGTCAGGACGACAATCTTGAAGAGTGGGAGTAGTGTTACGTCCCTGCGAGTCGTCTGTGGTAGTTAATCCTGAAGTTGCTCCCGTCTCTAAGAGATCATCTCCAAACACGTCGCTAAGGGTTGTTGTAAAAAACAACGGCGGACATCTTGAGAGAGATCGGTCATCTTGAGTCTCGTGACGGATGTCATTCCGGGCGGACATATTTGAGATACGATTACTGTTATTACCCGTTCTGTGTTCCTTGTTTAATTGTGTGTTCTGTGTTATTATTAAAGTTCCTTTTGTTCTTTTAAAAGAGTGTTAATCATTTACGTCGCGGTACGCGAGTGCCGTTTGTGTCGCGCGTGTTCGAGTATTATCGAAGTTGACGCGCGGACGCAACAATACATACAGGGTGTCTCACAAACTCCGTACAATACTTTATTAGCGTGTTCTAGAGTTAAAATAGAGACAAAAATTCTA